CCCCAAAACCCCAAAACCCCAAAACCCCAAAACCCCAAAACCCCTGGTCATATTTTAGGGTTGAAACCTGATAACAAAATCCCTTGTAAAGTTTCTGTAGTGATTACTGACTGAAGGGTCTTTTTCTGTTGAGGTTATTATTGATTCTTGAAGAATGTCTTTCCCTCTTTCCATAGATATTTCTATAATGAATCTCTACTCTTCTCTGCTTCAGGAGCTCTATTAAGATGAAAGGTACTGGAATACCAATATATGATGCCTTATGTTTGTCTCTTATGTACACTTCTTTGAAGATGTTCTGATCTTTGACTTGATCGTCGCTGAAAAGACAAGTCATTAGCAAGATGTTTGATATGATTTTGATTAATTCTAAGAATGTTCAGCTATTCTTAACCACAATGTAAGCATGGACTTTCTGCTAGCTTATAAGAATGTACACAGACTCTATCCAAAGTACAGAGAATTGATGTTTTAAATCATCAGCTGTCTTTATCAACCCCATAGTAGCATGCCTCTTGGGCTTACCTGATAGTTTTGAATAACTGGTCTCTGTTTAGTACGAACTTGATCAACTTGGATTTATTCTTTATAGGCAGCTCAACAGGAGCCTGCTTCAGGCCCTTGGTAAGGGCCTTTATAGTCTTATCCAGTTTATCTTTTTCTCTCTTTGGTAGAACCTGGCGGTACTTCTTCAACACTTGTTCAGTGTTGACGGCTATAAGTCAGGCTTAGTCTTACAGTCATCTCCACAATTACGAGTGTGGGTATTACTGTACTTCTTGGAGACAATGTCATGGACTGGGGAATTTGGATTATGCGCATCTGAAATTAAGCCATTGGCTTACTGAGAAGCCCGATGTCAAAGTACTTGTTCTTCTTTTTATCGTACAGGTTATGAAGATTCTGCCTGTTATTTGGAGCTTCGAGCCGTGTAGACTTCTTTCCTGTCTTTGGAATTTGAGTTGAAGGATTTAAACTTTAAGGAGCCGCTGATTGGAGTCTTATTTATGCATCCCGAATTGTACCTAACAGGTTGGAGATAGGCTTACTGTGTAGTTGATTCCGGATACCGGGCTTCATTTATCTTGCAGATTCCTGTTTCCTCTAGCAAAAGAAGCAGGAATGTTAGCTGAAACTTATTGGAACCCACTTACTTCTAGTATCAACAGTGTTGATATTTAAGTTCTTCTTTTTAAGGAGTAATTTGCTAACTTTTGGCTTGATAATGGTATCTTTACTCTTGATTTTTATTAGTGGAGCCTAATGTTTATGATCATACATACTCGAATCCCTATGAGATCTTCTTCAGAGTCAATATGCTCGGCTTTAAGCTCTTCAATTCTATCGAAATATGTAATGAAGTAATGAGAGAGAATACCTGTCGATGTTAGATGAGAGCTCGAAAGGCTTGATCAGCCTTTCCTTTTCATGCAACTTCTTCTTGAACTGATTAATTCTTTCCATTTTCGAAAATTTTAATTATATTTTGGGGTTTTGGGGTTTTGGGGTTTTGGGGTTTTGGGG